TAAGCTTTCTCCAATCAACATGCTTGGCTTTAGAAATAAGAAAAATAAATATCATAAGGAAAAATTGCCCTGGCCAGGTAGCTCAGTTGATTAGAGCGTTGTCCTCATATGCCAAGGTTGCGGTTCGATCGCAGTCAGGGCACATGCAGGGATCAACCAATGAATGCATATGTGAATGGAATAATAAGTTGTTGTCTCTCCCAGATCAATTAAAAAAACACACACATATAAGGAAAAATTGATTGTGAGCCCACAACGGGTAGGAGTAATGGCCTATGGGCAGTCCCCAGATTGAATAATTCACTTGTGACTATCCAGAGTTGACTACAGTTGCAGTTGTTTTTGTTAAGTTGGGAAGTTCTCATGCTGATTAGATTTGCTGAGAAATGTCTTGCATGTTTTATTAAACTTGTACACTGTTAAAGCTGCATGTAAATTTTTTCTGTCTGTGTGAATAGACATTTTAGGATTAAGCTAATCCAGAGGACTCTTCTCTTATTTTCCTTCCATCCCTTACCTATACCAGTTTCAGAAGTACTTTATCTTCAATGATGTCTTGTCCTCGAACATAGTGGCAGTGGTTTTTACAGGGAGGCTTTCACATTACCTTCATAAAAAGGCATTATGTGACCCTCAGTATATCCAAAACACACCTATCCAATTGATATTCCCTTTTTGTTTAGGAATTTAGTGTTGAGGGCTGGTAGGAAAGGCGCACACACTTAACTGTATAGACCCCTGAGGAAACATTGATATTTTCTAGTTACCTTGGAGGGATCAACTCTAGTGGTTTGAGGTGCTCTTTCTGTTAATTAAGTTTTTATCTACATGGAGGAAAGTATTTTCCCAAGAAATGTCATTTTATACCACACAAAATCTTCTTCCTTTGAAGTTCCTGCATTGGCTTGTTCAACAAAAGGATACATCTGGTCCTAAAATGGACTTGTGGACCAGAATTAATCTCATCAAAAAGATGTTAGCCTTCATGACCCAGAAAATACACTCTTTGTAAAACTCTATACTAATTTACCTTCAAAATCCAATACCCTTTGTCATAAAAGGCCCATGATGTGACTCCCACCCCCACCTCTCTCCTTGTACTCATTCCCTCCCTTTGTTCTTTTTTTCTTTTTATTATTTTTTAAGATACATATTTTTTATTGATTTCAGAGAGGAAGGGAGAAGGAGGGAGAAATAGAAACATCAATGATGAGAGAGAATCATTGATTGGCTGCCTCCTGCAAGCCCCACACTGGGGATTCAGCCCGCAGCCCAGGCATATTCCCTGACCAGGAATCAAACTGTGACCTCCTGGTTCATAGGTCTAAGCTCAACCACTGAGCCACACCGGCTGGGCTCCCTCTGTTCTTTAAGTTTCAGTTCTGTCAAACTACTTGTCTTAAATATGTCCTGTCACCTGATTGTTCTCCCTGTCTGTCATCTCCTTCCCTACATCCTTTGGCCATGTTTTCTTACCATTTGTTTTTCAAAGCCCACTTAGATGTCCTCTTCTTTGTTATTACCATGTCATATTATGTTGCAAACACACACAGACACATAAATACACTTGAGAGTAAGGTCTGTGCCTTACTTTTTTCCATAACTGGACTGCTTACTAGGCATTGGCATGTAATAGGCACTCAAATGTTTATGGAACTAAGTTGAAGCATAGGTTGGGGGCTATAACAGATGACTAAAAATAGTCCAGGTCTTGGAGAAACAGTATTTTCATTGCCATCATCTTTGAAAAACTGATCTTTCTTAGGAGAGCTTAATATCCTTCCCTCCTCCAGTTTATATTTGTGTTAGTAATTATGATCGGGGAAGTGGAGATGGCAGACAGTGCGGATGGCCTCCCGAGAGAGCCCATTCACGCACTCTGGAGAAAACAGCAGTCGCGCCACTCTTGCTCTTGGGACATGGAGGCAGCAGCACTGGGAAGCTCTAAAGCCCTTATCCTTGGCCTTGTTAAATTGGCTTGTTTGTGGGGATGATGAACTGGCTTTGGAGAGAAGATTAATGTCCTGGGGCAGCTCTGGAGGCTCATTTCTGTTAAGCTGCCCTTGTTCTTTAATTTCACATATAATTGCAGTATCCTTTCAGTGGTGGGGTGGAAAAATTGGAATAGGCTTGTCACTTGTGACTGGATTTCTAAGTTCTTGTTTCATTCCATCCCTTATTCTTTGTATAGTTTTAAAAGTTATATAACATGGATTCATGTTTATTGAAAACAAAGTACAAAACTGTCTAGAGACAAAAATTAAAGTTCCTCTGCCAATCCCTATGTTTTTGTGTATTATATGCACACAGATAAAGCTTTTTAAAAATTATGATAAGGATTGTACTCTTGGTATTGTTCTGTGATTATGTGAAGTCTTTAGGTCATGTTGAGTTGAGAAGTGGTCATTTATAACCAACCCTTGGTAATCCTTGTTTGATCAGTTGCTGTGATAATACCTAATAACACTTCAGTAGTTCTATTCAATTTTACAATGTATTAGGTGACTTGTATTTTTTTTAAAGCAGGATCAAGTATGATATTTTTCTAGATGATTAAGTATGTTGTTTCTAATACCTGCAAACAATCCTGCAAGATTTATTATTAAGTCACATATAGATGAGGAAACTGAGGCTTAACAAAGTTAAGCTAATTTACTAGTATTTAAAAAAATTTTTTTTTGAGAGTAAGTTTATTAAAGCTTAAAGGAAGGGCTTAAGATAGAAGAGGCAAGACAGTAACAGTAGTGAGCCTAAGTGGAACTGCCTTGGCCCTTTAGAAAGAAAGTCACAGAAGCAGAAGTGAGTCATCTGGACTGTGTGGACTCAGGAAACAAGTTACTGAAGCAAAAGAAGGGTCCTTGGAGAAAGAAAACAAAGATCCGTGCCTTAGGAAATAAGGAGGGGGGAGGGGGGAGAAGGTACAGAATGCTTCAGAGAGAGAGAGAGATTTGGAACTGGGTCCATTCAAGCAAATCTAACTTTAAAAGCCATGCCTGCCCATTGGTATGGCTCAGTTGGTTGAGTGTTGACCCATGAACCAGGTCAGGGCACATGCCCGGGTTGTGGGCTCGATCCCCAGAAGAGGGCATGCGGGAAGTAGCCAATCAGTGATTCTCTCTCATCATTGATGATTCTGTCTCTCTCCCTTTCCCTTCTTATCTCTCTAAAAAATCAATAAAAATATATTTTTAAAAAAAGCCATGCCCCACCCTAGCTTGTTTGGTTCAGTGGATAGAGCATTGGCCTGTGGACTGAAGGGTCCTGGGTTCAATTCTGGTCAAGGGCACATGCCCGATTGCAGGCTCTATCCCCAGTAGAGGGTGTGCAGAAGGCAGCTGATCAACGATTCTCATCATTGATGTTTCTATCTTTCTCTTCCTCTCCTTCCTCTCTGAAATAAATAAAAATATATTTAAAAACAAAACAAAACAGCCCTAGCTGGTTTGGCTCAGTGGATAGAGTGTCGGCCTGCAGACTGAAGGGTCCCAGGTTCGATTCCGGTCAAGGGCATGTACCTTGGTTGCGGGCACATCCCCAGTAGGGGGTGTGCAGGAGGCAGCTGATCGATGTTTCTCTCTCATTGATGTTTCTAACTCTCTATTCCTCTCCCTTCCTCTCTGTAAAAAATCCATAAAATATATTTAAAAAAACAACAACATGCCTAACTGCCCTACTGAACCACCAATCTGGTGATATATTCGGCTTTCCTGTCAATCTTAGAACAGTGTTTCTCAAACTATCTTCTGTGGTAAGGACTAGTGTTATTTTTCCTGATCTGTTGCAAATCATTACTTTTGTAAAATACAAAACAAATGACTTACTAGACAAACTAAGTTTAAAAAGGCATAAGCAATACAAGCCAAATGTATTCTAAGATTCAAAATTACTAGGTCAAATTGTTATACAAATTTCTAAGTGCTTACTTTCAATTTCCATGCTTATTTCCCCACAGACTGGTGAAATCAGCCCTGGAGTACAGACACTCTTCAAGGCATTGCCTTGGAGGTGTTAGGGTTTTTTATAAGTATTTTATTGTGAAGAATTTTTCATGTATACAGAGGTAGAGATAATAGTGCAAATAAAGAATTCCATGTACTATCTCCCAGCTTCAGCAGTTATCAACTCATAGTCAATCTTCTTTCACACCCTTGCCAAGCTATTATTTTAACACAAAACCCAGACATATCATTTCATTCATAAATATTTTAGTAAATATCTCTAAAATAATAGGGACTCTAAATTTATAACTTCCATAACATCACACCTAAAACAATTAATAATTCCTTAATATATTCAGATGTGCAGTCAGTGTTCAGATTTCTCAGATTGTTTATAACTATCTGTTTATGATTGATTCCTTCAAATAACTAGATTTCCTTCATTCTATTAATGTGATAATTATATATATATTGATTTTTGTATGTTGAACCACCTTTGCATTCCTGGAATAAATCCTAGGAATTGTTCATGATGCATAATCCTTCTAATATGCTGCTGAATTCAGTTTTTCAGTGACTTAGTGAGCATTTTGCATCTATATTCATATAGGATATTGATCTGTAGTTTTCTTGTAATATCGTTTGGTGTTGGTATTAGAGTAATGGCTTAATAAAATGAATCAAGAAGTGTTCCGGCTTCTTCAATTTTTGGAAAGAGTTTCAGATGGTTTGGTGTTAAGTCTGAGGAACTGGCTTTTAGAAGTAGCTTCAGTGCTTTCTGTGTGACCTTGACAAGTCATTTTACTTTTTGAACCTCATTTCCCAAAGGATATCTAATTGAATGAAATGCTCTTTAATATATCTCTACCAGTTTTTTGCCCTTTACTTGGGTCTAATTTGGTAGAAAGATGTTTGACAACTTGTTATCAAGGATGAATTAAGGTATATTGAGATATGTAACTATGACCTAAGTCTATATACTATAGAGCCTTTAGTGCACAAATGTTCTTTTCTAAAATTAGCTTAATTGGATAATGATCTTTTGTTTTTCCTTCTCTCTAGGTTCTTTGCACTGACATCCCTTCGTCTTGTATTTTTACTTGCATTCAGCTCAATGATCATAGTGTGTATAGATCAATGGAAGAACAAAATCTGGCCTGAAATAAAAGGTAAGTTTTTAGCATTTAGAACACACTGAACTTCTTTTCTGTAATTTTTACCTTTAGTTTTGGGGGTTTATGAGGGAGTATGTGGAACTGGGAATGTCTTTTGATGTTCGAATTATTTGCTTTAGGAGACCTTTCTCCTTCTGCATGTAATTTCTTAGAACTGAATTCTGCCCTTCTCATTGTTAAGCTCAGAAAATCGGATTCACCATCTGAGATACTCTGCCCTCATAATTGACCTGAGGAATAAGTAGTTCTTAAATAGTCCTCAAGTTTTTAAAAAATAATTCACTTCATTGGATACTATGTCTTTACTAAGGCAGTATTAATTTGCCTCTCAGGAATTTTTAAATTTATTTTAAAATATATTCTTATTGATTTCAGAGAGAAAGGGAGAGGGAGAGCGGTATAGAAGCATCAATGATGAGAATCATTGATCAGCTGCCTCCTGCACACCCCCTACTGAGGATTGAGCCCGAAACCCTGTCATGTGCCCTGACCCAGAATCAAACCATGACCACATGGTTGGTTCATAGGTAGACACTGAGCCACATCCGCCAGGCCAGAGTGTACAGCTTTTAAATACATTCCCTTCCTATTTTGCAGAGACTTCAAGGAATCATGTCAAAAGACTTTACATCATTTTTTTGTAGTTAATGGGTCTTTCTTTTAAAAGAATAGGCAGATTTCTAGTGTTGGAGTAGTTGTAACATGCCTTGTAACCTAGTGTACCATTGATGTGTTTCAACAAACCAGATATTCTTGAGGGGTGGGACGGACTATTTGTGTATACCTTGGCTCTCAGCTTCAGTAATTAGAAGGGCCCTGATGCTCCATTTGGATCCTCCTTACCCCCCTCCCCCGCCACCACTCTGCTGGAGAAATGAGCAAGCATCAGGCATCATTCCCTTGTCGGCAGCTCCCTAACCTGGCAGTATAACATAGTGTCTCCTTTTATTCCCCCCCCCCCCCATTAAAATGTGAGCAGTCAGACCAATACCCTAACATTTTCATGTTTAATTTTCCCTACCAACTAATGCTGGTGTTTGTTTTAATATTGTAGTGTCAAGACCCGACGCATTAGACAATGAGAGGTATGGAATACTAATTAAATCCCTTTTTATTGCTCTGATTGATTCTCTTGTTGTAATATTCTGGTTATATGTTGTTGTTAACCCCATGTTCTGGACAAACTGTAAGCTGAGAACCTAGGTTGTTCAAGTAATCATTTTAACAGATTCTAAAGTTCAGGCAGAAGTATGTTGAGATGGCTAGTGTCCTCTGATATTTACAAGAGAAGTTTCTGAAAAAGAAGCATTACAGTGCCCCATAACCTGACATGCCAGAGAATTAACTGCATTATCCAGTCCTAGTGAGAAAACCTAAAGACAGCTTATTTCATTTGTCTCCTGGTTGTTATACCAGGTCATTTAGTGTTTTCTGTGACCTATAGCTGTTTAAAGTTTCCTGGTCAGAAAACACATTGGTTCCTGGCATCAGCAAGTCAAAGATTCCTCTTGTGTCTTACAGCTCCTGCTTTCATTTTTCAACTCATTCATCCCATCTGTGTGATCCAAGTAATTTTCTCCGCTGTGGTTTATTTTTGGTTTTGCTTTTTTTCTCTCTGAAGGGTATGTCCACCATTGCCTCCCTCTCAGCAGCAGTGGTGTCAGACTGCCTTACTTTTATCCCTGGATTGCAATCACAGTGAATTGCAATGGTTGAGTGCAGGGATGATGTTTCTAAGCACAAAGGGCCTTGGAGCTGGTGGCAGGTTTACACATGAGGATTGGGCTGCCGGCTCATAGGGTGGAGTTGTCAGAACAGGTTTGCCCTTGTAGTCCCTAAATTCAAGTTTCAACCGGTGAGCCAAGAAGAAAGTCATGCTTCACCTCCAAAGCACCTAGGACAGCCACTCCCTAGCCCCTATTTAAACCCAGAAGCGTTGGCTTCCTACACAGCAAGATGGGGGGATCCTCAGCACTCCCCTTTTACAGCTCCCCCTTCTCTCTTCATAGCTGGGGCTTTGTGCACCCTCGGTTACTCAGCGTGCCCGAGCTCTGTCACCATGTAGCTGAAGTCTGGGTTAGTGGGACCATTTTCATAAGGAATCTTTTGCTTTTCAAAAAGCAAAACCCAGGCAAGGTAAGACGCTTCCCTTTTTCACTTCTATGTCTGGCTTCTCAGTTCAGTTCATGCTAAACTGAAAACAAACCCAAAACAAACCCCTTTACTACATATTCTCATTCAAGAAAGAAAAGATCAAGAGTGTATTATAGAGACGAAGGGAAGTTATAGGAAAAGGCTTCTGACTAGCCACTAGACTAAAGCAGAGCTTGATGACTCCTCCTTTGGGTGCTTGCCACTTAGATTAGGCCATCTTTCTCTTCCAAGATGAGAAAGAAAGCTTGCTTGGATGTATTCTGTGTCATATTAAACATGTGATAGGTTGTTGGGTTTTTTTATTTTTAATTTGACTTTAAAAAAACCCACCACCAACACTTGCTTTCAGAGAGAATATTTGGCTAAGTCCTATTCAAACCTGTTTCCCAGCATGAAAGGTGCAGCCCTATGGGGCTAGCTACGTCAAAGGAGTTTGAATAGAAGTGGACATCCTCTCTTCCTCCCAAAGAGAATCAAATTGGATGCAAAGTGGCTGGTCCATGTGTCATTCCGATGTGTCCGTGCTTTACTCACAGGCCATAAAGAATTATTTCAGTCACATCTCTACCTCCCGTGCTCACCCTAGTCCCCTGCCATGTAGCAGAAACTTAATGCTGTTTCTTGACTCCCCCAGTTCTGCTTGCTGAGCTGTGGGATACTGACCTTTTTGGCTGTCTTGGGCCGCTACATCCCTGGGCTCCTGCTGTCCTATTTAATGCGTAAGTATGGCATATACCTACCCCTGTGAGCTTACTCTACTCATAGCTTTTCCAGCCACAGCTAACTCTGGGTCTAGGGAGGACTTTTATTCTCTAGGAAATTATCTTTTTTCTTTCCCCCCGCCCCATGATTTGTTTAGTGTCCTGAAAGGGTCTTCTTACCCTTATAGCAGGCTCCCCACATATAAAGTCCTTATCTTACCAAGTCAGTTTTAGAAATTGACGAGAGTTAACTAACATATTGTATTAACAACTCTAAAGGACTGTCCCTATTTAAGGAGATAATGTTTACAGTCAGTGTATTATGTAACAGCAAAACTTAACTCTTAGGGCAGTGGTTCTCAACCTTCTGGCCCTTTAAATACAGTTCCTCATGTTGTGACCCAACCATAAAATTATTTTCGTTGCTACTTCATAACTGTAATGTTGCTACTCTTATGAATCATAATGTAAATATCTGATATGCAGGATGGTCTTAGGCGACCCCTGTGAAAGGGTCGTTCGACCGCCAAAGGGGTCTCGACCCACAGGTTGAGAACCGCTGTCTTAGGGGATCCTCTGCTAGGTTCTGTTTACCCTAGATCACTTTTTCCCCCGTAGCACAGTTTTATACATTTAGTTACTTCCTATTGGCATGAACACTGCTTGTTTGAGGCCAGAGGAACTGAATAGTTATGGCTGTGGCCATTATCAGAACTCATGTTATTTGTTATGTAGTTTCTGAGGCATTGTTACCCTTTGGCCTTATTTATGGCTCAGTGACACCCATATGCAAGTGACCACACGTCTCATTCTGCCCTCAGTGAATCAGCTCTGTAGATGGCTGCAGATGTGTCTGCCTTCCAACAAAACGCCCTCATGTACTTGGGGAGACTAGTGAAGGTGGCCAGCAGAATCAAGCATAACTGTTTTATACTAAGTGTCTAAGCCCCTCAGGACACAAGAGCAAAGGGACAGGTAGGACTGTTTTGTGCACCCCTTCTCCATTTTGCCACTATTTCCCACTCCTCTCAGTTGTCACTGTCATGATGTGGCCCCTTGCTGTGTACCACCGACTGTGGGATCGAGCTTATGTACGGCTGAAGCCAGCTCTGCAGCGGCTGGACTTCAGTGTCCGCGGCTATATGATGTCCAAGCAGAGAGAGAGACAACGTAAGTGTAAGGGGGAGCCTTCCTTCCACTTGGGCAGTTTGGGGAAGAGAAGAAAAGCCCATAGGCCTGACATAGTGGGTAGGTCCTCGAAAGTGGGAAAAGCGGGATGTGGTTGGTGTGTGTGTGTGTGGGGGGGGTGGTAGGAGGGAGGTAAAAGTGATATTCTATTCCAGGGAAATCTATGCAGGCTTACCCATCTTTTTTCCATTTGGGAATTCAAGACATTCCCATTTTAAACAAATCTGAGAAAAGCTCTCCTGTGTTGAATAAAAGACAGTGAAGATAATCCCTAGTGTTTGCTACTTTTTATGAAGCATTTTCCTTGTGCCCAAGCACTGTGCTGGCTGCTTTCCAAACACAGTGACAACAGTTGTGTGAACTTTTCCTCTGCTGTGGTCTGATCAGGTTCGGTGTTCATTAAGCCCTGACCTCAAATAGCCCTGCATTTGGTCACCAAGGCCCTGCTCCCCCTGGACAGCCAGCTGAATAGTATCAGTCCTCAAAAGCCTGACCTAACTAAGCTGGGCATCTCCCTTTGCCCTCTGTGATAGTACCTACTTTCCACCTTGACATCCAGTCAGTCCCTCGCTGATCCTGAGAGCTGTTGACAAGCCTGGTAGTTGATCACCTGAGGGTGGCTAATGGAGAGCTGTTGGAAGAGAGATCTTTTTCTTCTGTGCTATCAACTTACCTTTCTGTCCACTTAGGCTCTGCAACTCACCTCAGGCATTGTTGGGTAGGCTTAGGGCCATATTCAGAGAGGTTGGGTTCTCTCTCTCTCTCTCTCTCTCTCTTTTTTTTAACTCTTTATTGTTTAAAGTATCCTATATAATAAAAGGCTAATATGCAAATTGTCCCCTCAACTGGGAGTTCAACTAGGAGTTCTACCACCAGGGGGCAGGGCCGCCCATCCAACCACCTGTGGCCCCTCCCCCCGGGCCAACCCCCGATCAGCGCCAGCCCCAAATAGGGGTGGGCCAGCTGGCCGGACCCACCAGTGCACAAATTCGTGTACGGGGCCTCTAGTTATATATAGTATTACATATGTCTCCTTTTTCCCCCATTGACCCCTCCCTGGCTACCCCCATTCCCACAGCACATGCCCTCACCCCCCTAGTGTCTGTGTCCAATGGTTATGCTTCTATGCCTGGGTTATCTTATGTTCTCATTTTATGCCTTCGAAGCTCAAAGAGGGTAGGGGTTTCCCCTTCAAGGGAAGGTGCCAAGGCCTTCTGCTCTTTCCACATAGTGCGCCGCAGAGCTCTACACCCGGAACGTGCCATGGACAACCAGAGTGACAGTGAAGAAGAGCTTGCTGCCTTCTGTCCTCAGGTATTTTGGGTGTGGGACTGTACCACTGGCCAGTTTTCTTTTTTAAAAAAAAGAATTTTCTTTTTATTTATTAATATATTTTTAATTGATTTTAGAGAGGAAGGGAGAGGGACAGATAGAAACATCAATGATGAGAATCATTGATCGGCTGCCTCCTGCACACCACCCATTGGGGAGTGAGCCCACAACCACAACTAAGGCCTTTGTCCCGACCAGGAATCAAACCAGCAACCTTCCGGAGCATGGGGTGACGCCCAACCAACTGAGCCAGGGCTGGCCAGTCTTCTTTAGCTCCCTTTTAACCATCTGGCACCTACATTTAGATAGTAAGCTCATAGGCTCAGGTACTCCCTCCTTACCCCTGTGAGAGCCCAGACATGAGCATAACTGGCGCTCCTGTGAGAAGCTAGTGTTATATTGGGACTTTGTAAATAGATCTCAATTTGAGCCTGGTGACCAGCACACCTTCTTTCATGTCTCCCTTTAACCCCTGCCATCATGGTAGAACTTCTGGAACTGGTGTGATTATCTTTTAAAGAGCCCTGCTCATGCCCTGACCGGTTTGGCTCAGTGGATAGAGTGTTGGCCTGCGGACTGAGGGGTCCCGGGTTCGATTCCGGTCAGGGGCATGTACCTTGGTTGTGGGCACATCCCCAGTGGGAGGTGTGCAGGAGGCAGCTGATCGATGTTTCTCTCATTGATGTTTCAAATTCTCTATCCCTCTCCCTTCCTCTCTGTAAAAAATCAATAAAATATATTTTAAAAAAATAAAAATAAAGAGCCCTGCTCATCTTGGGTTGGGCAGTGTGTGTATCCTCCAGGTCACCTGTGAAAAGTGTTTTCTGGATCAGTTTGCTTAAGAGTAAGTGGCTGGTTGACTCCTAAGACTGCTTTCCTTCCTGTGCTCAAGATTGATGAGTAAGGGTGTTTTCCTTGGGGAGCAGCCTAAAAATGGTCAAGATTTTGACAGAAGTCTCCATCCACATCTGGTTACTTCTGGTCTTAGGGTAGTCTTCAGGGCCAGTAATTAGTAAAGCTGTTACTAGGGAATTGCATCTGTTCTTTTTTTTTTTTTAACTTTTAAAAAATTTTAATTTATTGCATCTGTCCTTACTGGCATCATCTCTTCAGGCTTGTCTGTCTTTGCTTTCCGTAGCTGGATGATTCTACTGTTGCCAGGGAATTGGCCATCACAGACTCTGAGCACTCGGATGCTGAGGTCTCCTATACAGACAATGGCACATTCAATCTTTCACGGGGCCAGACACCTCTAACAGAAGGCTCTGAAGGTGAGCGGCCTGACTAGATAATGGTTCTGACTTACCACCTTTCAGCTTCCCTGGACAGAAGGGATACCACCCTCTCCTCTCCTGTTTTCTGAGAAGTGGATCAGGTGTCAGAGCAGCCTTAGGGGTCTGACATCCAGGATGGCACAGCTGCTCTCCTTGGAGTCCTCAGTTCCTTAGTTTCCTCAGGTTGTAGGTTCATGGGGAGCATAGTGGAAGAAGAGAGAGGGGGAGTTCTCTCGCCAGTAGAGGACTCAGCAGTCTATAAGCAGAGGGGAAAAGCTGACCAGTGCCATGGGTTTGCTTCACCCTTAGATATCCAGGGTGGAAAAATGTGGTTACATGGGGCCGACTTGGTGGGGCTGGGGTCAGGTAGTTGCTATGTCTCAGACACCCTTCTGTGCTTTCAGACCTAGATGGGCACAGTGATCCAGAGGAATCCTTTGCCAGAGACCTTCCAGACTTCCCTTCCATTAATGTGGATCCTGCTGGCCTGGACGATGAGGACGATACCAGCATTGGAATGCCCAGCTTGATGTACCATTCCCCACCAGAGGCTGACGAGCCCCAGGGCTCCTCAGCCAGCCGTGACGAGAGTACACTGCCGGAGCTCCTGCTTGGTGCCCTGCCTGCAGGATCCAACCTCACCAGCAACTTTGCCAGCCTGGTCTCCCAGGGCATGATCCAGCTGGCCCTGTCAGGGGCCTCCCAGCCTGGCCCTTCTGGCCAACCTCCCCGGAGAGCAACCAGAGGCTTCCTCCGGGCCCCCAGCTCAGACCTGGACACTGATGCTGAGGGGGATGACTTTGAACTTCTGGACCAGTCAGAGCTGAGTCAGCTGGACCCTGCCAGTTCCAGGAGCCACTGAAGCAGAGACTCCTTTTGGGGGGGTCACTGTGGCTTAGGGTTTTTTTCTCATCCCACTAAAGGTGAAGGGGCAAGGGAAGAACCCAGGTCCCATCCCCTGACTTACACTTGTATGCCTGGTGGCCTGGCTGATGCTCAGAGGCCCGTTGAGAGAAGATACTCACTTCCCTGATACCAGCTGGACACCCATTTCTGAGCTCAGTCACTGAAGTGAGAGTGTGCTTCCTTAGGGAGGCTTCTCCCCATCAGGATGATACTTCTGGGGAACAAAGTAGTCAGGGGTATTGGTTCCCCTTTGAGGGGGTGCTGTTGTTTGCTTCTAGGTATGGGTGCTCAGGAGCCCTCATTGATAGAAGAGCCCTTCCTCCTCCATCATCTCCCTAGAGGCCCAAGTCAGGCAGCAGCTGGAAGAATTACACTGTCATTCTCCTCTTGGGCTAAGCCATGATTTGTCTGTTTCTAAGCAAGCTTCTCCTTTGGTTCTGCAGAGCAGGCCTGTTCCCTCTGCCACAGCCCATCCTCATTTCTTGAGGCCTAACCCCCAGTTTGCTCCAAAACTGCTTGTGAAATTTAAGAAATGTGAACATGATGTGGAGGTGGGCCTCTTCTACATTACCTTGGGCCGTGGGGTCAGCTGGCTGGAAGGGTGAGTGCCTCTCTATGGTCTCACTGAATCTTTTGGAGCTGCCTGGTAGTCTTTGGTGCTGCTAACCCCTGGCTCTATTTGACCATTGGCCTGAGCAACTAGCAAAGCAATACCAGACCACACCCATTCCCATGTTCCTGTTCCTTCCCTTGCTCCTCCTTTGGAGAAGCAGTATTCCATGGGGGAGGCCAGAGTAGCACTTTACAAATGGCTCAGTGGCATTCATCCCAGAAGCCACCAGCTCTTCCTTCACCAGCTATTCTTACTCTGTTCGGCTCCTTTAAAACTTTTTATATTGAACTGCTTCCCAACCTGGTGGACCTCTTTTAAGGATGAGCCCAATTAGCAAGAATGTGTCTGTAATGAGCAGCGACCCCTCTAAGGGGTATCTGTTAAGACTGTCCCTAGTAAAATCATGTGAAACAAAAACTGAAATTGGTAATTAGTTCTAAACTTGTGTCAGCTTACACCCTCTCTCTGCTTCTCCAGAGCTCAAGCCAAACTCCTGTCCTCTTTCCCTCTGCATTAACCCTTTGCTGATCCTCAGGGACCACTCCCCCAACACCTCCGCACCCGGGTGAGGGATGCTGGACAGAGCCCATTTTCATGTGCTACAGGTGGGAGTGTGCTAACATGTTTGCTCTTGGCTGATGAAAGGTAGAGGCCAGGACGTGAAAATCATGAACAGTGAGAAGGGAGAAGAACTAGATGCCTATTTCATAGTCACCTTTGTGTGAATGTTAGTGGTAATGGCATTTCCCCACTTAGGGTTCTTAGATATTTTGGGCACCTTATCTCCTCTCAGAGCCCAGATGTCTTACAGGTGATCTCTGATGTGGAAAAAAATGGGAGGTGTGGGAAAGGAGTGGGATTTTGCGTGTTTGCATGAGTGTGTGTAGCTCCAGGCTTGGGAGTTAGCAAGGAGGGAAGGAAGGAGAGCAAAATCTTTGGAAGGTGTTTCTTGTACCTGGGGATCCTGCTCTGAATCTCCTTAGTCCTCCACTGTGAATTGGGGTGAGGGGAGGGGTGGGAGGGGTGCTGGGGAATAAATCTTATATGAGAACAATCTGTAAGAGACTAACGTTGAATGGTGTCCTACCCTTGATAGGTCTCTTATTAATCTGGTATGTGATTAGAGGAGGCGAGAGCCTCAGAAGAGGAAGTCCAGGTGTAAGGAACCCATTTGCCTATCAGTTTTTCCTTTGTGATGGTCAGAAAATCACCATGGTATGAGGCCACTATCCCCTCCCCAGGAGAGCCCAGACATGAGCATAAATGGCACTCTTGGCCAGCATCTAGCCTGCAGTTCCATCATTTCTATTCCATTTCTAATTCTTTTTTGATTTTTAATCCTCACCTGAAGATGTTTTTACTGATTTCAGAGAGGGAAAGAGAAACATCGATATATAAGAGAAACATTGGTTGCCTCCTGTACACACCCCCACCAGGAATCAAACCCGCAACCTAAGTATGTGCCCTGACTGGAACAGAACCAGCAACCTTTCGGTGCCCAGTGACGTTCCAACCAACTGAGCCACACTGGCCAGGGCATCTGATTCTTGATACTGCTCCCTAAACGTGTGGAGACAAGTATATTTCAAAGGCTAATGAGATTTTAGGTAACAGAAGGCTTTAAAAAGTAACACCATGTCCCTCCTCCGGATTGTTTGAGCTGCAGGGACAGCTGCTCTTTTGGCCTTCACCTGACCTCAGAAACTAGAAATACTTATTTTAAGCTTCGTCCCATTGGCCACTGTGGGCAGGAGTGGAAAGTACCTGCCAGGTGTTGCCATAAAATTGACTCAGCCAACAGGAAACTTCGAAAAGCTTTGTGGTTTAATAGCCCCCTCGCAGCCCTACCTTCCCTTGGCGTTCAAACCACAGCATGAGTTGAGCGCCCCCTGTGTGCGGAGCTCGGTAACGAGCAAACAAAGGTGACTTTTCTTTCCAGGGTGTTTTACTTATTAAGTCTACGATCACCCTTCTGCAAGTACCCCTGGCTCCTACTTTACAAATAAGACTAGCGGCAAAGGGCCTCGGGCCGTGGGCTAGGACGTGGCCCTGACGGTAACTGCGCTGTGACCTTGAGCGGGCCGACGGCCCAGCGGGAGTTGACCCCGAGGTTTCCCGTCGGAACCTTAGGCCCTGCTCAGCCGCCGCGGGGGCCGGGCCACAAGACCGAGGCGTGATGTACTCCGGCTTCCGTTCCGGGGGGGGGGGAGCAGGGGTCGGCCCTGCTCTGCCGCCGCGGGGGCCGGGCCACAAGACCAAGGCGTGATGTACTCCGGCTTCCGTTCCGGGGGGGAGCAGGGGAAGGTTGGAAGTGTGTGCCCCGCCTCCTCTGCAGACTCCCAGGCAGGGGGTGGTGCGCGGTGTCCTAGCTCCGGGCAGAAACCCGCTGGGGGGTCCCGGAAGGTCCGCTTCGTTCCTCGCGAAGGCTTCCTTTTCCGCCAGTCGCCGCACGAGGCCCGCCCCACCCGCCGCCGGAAGAAGCCGTTGCCCGGAGCAACTGTAACGTCCGGCTTTCGGAGTTTGGCGGCGGGAAAGGCCATGAGTAAAGGCAGGGCTGAAGCGGCGACTGGCGGTACGCGGGCCTCGGGAGCCGGGGAGACCCGGAGGGGAGCGGGTAAGGGGGTCGGGGGTCGGCTGAGTGACCCCGCCCCTGTGTCTTCTCCTCGCGTAGCCCCCGGCGTCCTCCTGAAGTACCTGCAGGAGCAGAACCGGCCCTACAGCGCCCAGGATGTGTTTGGGAACCTGCAGCGGGAACACGGGCTGGGCAAAGCGGTGAGGACCCGCTCCCGGGGTTCCTCCCCTGGGGACCCCTCGGGTCGGCCATTGTAGCCCTGGGCTTCCTAAGGCTGGTCGCGCGCTGCCCCTAACACTGGCCGCTCGGCCCGAAGTCACTGATTGCTCCGCACTCTACCCTGCCAGGCCGTGGTGAAGGCGCTGGAGCAGCTGGCCCAACAAGGCAAGATTAAAGAGAAGATGTACGGCAAGCAGAAGATCTATTTTGCGGACCAGGTGAGGGAAGTCTGCGCAAATTACCCCCCCGCCCCTGCCCCGTGTGCGAGCCCAATTTAGGTGAATCAGCCCCACGTATGAACTCTCTCTGGGAGAACTGAGGCAATCCATGAAACTCCGCTGTCTTACGCCATTAAAAGGGCCCCAGCCATCCTTTAAATCAGTGTGTGTACTCCCTTGCTGTGATCCAAACTTCATGAGATTTCCATACTTAAAATATGATGACAGAAAATCCAAGATCCAGTTCTGCTTGGAAGTTCTTACTCCCAATCGTCTAGATTAGAACCACCTTCTGCCAAATTACTTTCCTTCCGTCTCCACCCGCCTTCCTAAACACACACATTAATTTTGTATCTTCAGCCCAAACCTCCAAATGGATGTCTTTCAGAATCATTATGGCTACAGTAGATGGCTTCATCTCTCCCCTACTGGCTCCTCTCACATTCTTTTATATTTATTTTTATTGATTTCAGGGAGGAAGAGAGAGAGAAAAAACAACACACATACAAAACATCAATGATGAGAGAGAATCATTGATCAGCTGCCTCCTGCATGCCCCCTCCTGGGAATCCGCCTGCAACTTGGGCATGTGACCTTGACCGGAATCGAACCTGTGACCTTTCAGTCGCAGGCTGACGCTCTATCCACTGAGCCAAACCATCTAGGACACTTCCTTCTTTCTTTTTTCCTTTTGTCAGCATCCAAAACCTCTTTAATAACATGATAGGATTTAGGGTTAGTTTTTGTAGCCGCGGCTGGCCCGGCGGCCTCTTGCATGCTCGAACTTCCGGCCCTTGGATCGCACATAGGGTTTGGTGTGGCTGTGGGGGGTTCCTGGGGCCTTGCCGAAATGCCTGTACACCTTGTGGCCCTTTCGAGAACTAGAAAGCAAGACAGTGCCACAGCCCTTGGGGGAGTCCAGGGCCAGCTGGTCGAAGGTGAGAATCTTGCCCCCAGCCTTGAGGATGCGGCTCCGGGCGTGGCTCCGGGCGCGGCTGCTCACACAAAGGGCACATATCTTCAGTTTGGGCACCTCCTGGATTCTCACGTCATCAGTTATAGTCCCCACAACCACGGTGGTTTTGCCCTCCCGGCCAGGAAGCTTCATCTTGCAGATCATCCGGGAAAGGGACAGAGGTGGCCGGTTGGTGCGACTCATGAACAACCTCTTCAGCACCACTTGGTTGAAAGTGGAGTTGGTTCTTCTGGCCAGAAACCTGTGTAGCTTGACCAACAGCCTTAGGTAGATGTCCTGGCTCTTGGGCTCCTTGCGCCGAACCTTTCGGTCTTTGTCATGGCGGATGTCAACTCCCATGATGGTGCCTTCTGCTCCACCAGGTCCGGAAAGAGAGGGCGGACACTTTCTTCTTTCTTAATGGAATCACTCTTCACCCAAGCCAGAGATGAGAGGGTCATTCTTAACCTCCCGTATCTCACATGGCTAGCCAGCCGTCAAGTCCAGCTGATTTTCCCCTCCTTGAACCCACATGCCATCACTGCTCTAGTTCAGATGCTCCTCATTTTTTAAAAATATATTTTATTGATTTTTTATAGAGAGGAATAGAGAGTTAGAAACATCGATGAGAGAAAAACATCCATCAGCTGCCTCCTGCACACTCCCTATTGGGTATGTGCCTGCAACCAAGGTACATGCCCTTGACCGGAATCGAACCGACGCTCTAGCCACTGAGCCAAACCGGTCAGGTTGCTCCTCATCTATTGCAATATCCTAACATCTCCTGGTCTCTTCAAACATTGCAGCCAGAGCGATCCGTGTTCATGAAAATCTAGTCATGACATTTCCTACCTAAAATTCTAGTGCCTCTGGAACAGGTAAAAGGCACTTGGAGACTTGGCCCCAGCCTGCCTCTAACCTCATCTGTCCCTGTTATTTCTCCATCCATTAATACTAGACCATTAAATAGGTTTTACTCCTGTATCCTTTGCTCATTGTCTTTCCTTTGCCTGGAGTGTTTTAGACCCTTCTTCTTCTTATACCTCTTTGCCCAGCTAACTTACTCATCCTTTAGAATTTCACTCAGGCATTACCTTCTCCAGAAACCTTCTCTGGATGCTCTGAGCTAATGGCTTACCTCTTGAGGCATACGGTAGTATAATTGTCTTTTTACTTGTCTCCCCCACTAAACTGTCCTAATACAGACCCCATTTCTCATTTATTTTTGTCAGCACCCCACAGTATTTAACATCCAGTAGACATTAAATACTCGTTTAACTGAATCAAATCACCATCAAGGCAAATTTTCCTAAAATAGGTTTCATTATGTTACTACTCTGTTGAAGGTCCCCTAAAGGTGAAGTTGGAATTTTTTTTCCTGTGAAGGGCCAGACAATTGTTACACTTTGCAGGCCAGGTGGTCTCTTGCCACAGCTACTCAACTGTCAAAACCATGCAGGATTTGGCTTACAGGCTGTCATTTGCTGCCTCTTGTAAAAGTTTAACATTGCCTTAATGTGGAGTTCAGGGTGCCCAGGCTGGATTCACATCCTTTCTAACCTGCTCCTCTCACCAACTGATGATACCCCCACTGAGCCCCAACACAGTCCTTTTTCTAGCAGCTCATCTCATGGGAGGGGCTCCTCAGACTTTATTCCTAGAGTTCCTTAACGAAATCCCTCCCACCACGCCCCTGCCTGTCCAGACCCTTCCTGTTGTGGAAGCCCTCGTTCAGTCATCACTGTGGGAAGAATGTTCCTTTCCTCCTTCAGCCTAGTGAGAGTTTTGACCACTAAACTGACAGATATTTGTCCTATTCAGTCTCCTGACAACCTAGAAGCCCCTTGAGGACAGGCATTAGGTTTCAACTTTGATACTTTGTTGTTGGACTCAGTACTAAATTGAATGATCTCTCAAAAGTACACTCCTGCTATTTCGGAAGGTTCCTAAGTGTGTCTGAATGTTGCCTTTTAGACGTGGGGTCACACATCAGGCCACTTTTCTTCTTGTCTTTGGCAGGACCAGTTTGACACGGTGAGTGATGCTGACCTCCAAAGCTTGGATGCCAAAATCGTGACCCTCACTGCCAAGGTGCAGAGCTTGCAGCAGAGCTGTCGCCAAATGGAGGCTGGTAGGAATGGGCTGTTCGGAGGGTGCCCCTCGCTAGCATCAGGGTCTGTCCAGAGGTCAGGATTACTGAGGAAATGGGTTGTTGACTGCATTGTTGTCTCAGTGCAGTGAGGATCCCTTTGCTGGGTTGCCATAGCATTACATTCAGAGAAATATATGACAGCTGATGGCTTTTGAAATTCAAATGGACAGGACACGCATCTGCTTTCCTTATCATGATTATCAGCATACTGTTCTCACACTTCCCTGGCTACAGCTTCCTGGACATTTCTAGAATAAGGGGCCCATTCTGGACCCTGGGTGTAAAACCCAGAGCGAGTGGAGGCCTGGTCTCCTACCTCAGGGAGTACCCACTGGAAGAGAACCCCTTCCTTGGGGGACAGCAAGTGATCTCAGGGAGATGTGGTTTCAGAGCTGAAGGAGTTAACTAGTGCCCTGACCACACCGGAGATGCAGAAAGAGATCCAGGTGTTAAAGGAGGAATGTGCTGGCTACACAGAGAGACTGAAGAACATCAAAGCAGCCACCAGCCATGTGACCCCGGAGGAGAAAGAACAGGTGAGTTGGGAGGGCAGGCAGCCTGTGCAGAGAAGCAAGCACAAGAGTTGACCCCAGCAACTGCCCTGCCGTGGGGCTAAGGGCTTAGAGAAACCTGTTCCCCCTGCTTAGGTGTACAAAGAGAAGCAGAAGTACTGCAAGGAGTGGAGGAAGCGCAAGAGGATGGTAAGTGCAGGAGTTCCCAGGCAGGCCCTGGGAAATAGCCCCCCCCCCCCCCCCGCCCCCCTGAGAAACTTGCTGCCGTGTCATGGATCTGTTAGGCAGTGCCAAGCGCTGCCCATCTGCAAAGGGGTGGTCTTGTTTCTTGTCAGGCAACAGAACTGTGTGATGCAATCCTGGAAGGGTACCCCAAGAGCAAGAAGCAGTTCTTTGTAAGTGGTTCTCTTTCTCTTCCTTGCTCCCCTGGGGTTTCGCCCAAAGAAGTCTCATTCACTTGTCTCATTGCCCCACAGGAGGAAGTTGGGATAGAGACAGATGAAGATTATAATGTCAAGCTCCCAGACCCCTGAGAGCCCCTGTGGTAGGACTGGGTTATGGGGACAGAGTCCCAGACTGGCTGCCAGCTTTTTTTATTGTTACTGCTGCTTTCAACCTTTGAGCAGGGCAGTTGGGAGAGGGGCATAAACCAGAGTATTTGGCAGAGCGGGAGGGGAAGGAGTGCTGGTCAACCAGAGCCGATGGGTACACTCATTACATGGTCTAGAATGTAATTTCAAATGCTTGTGCTTAACACTTAGACTTGGAACAAAACTAAAGGAAAGCATTTGGCAATATTTATTGTAATATAATTTGATATAAAAATATTTAATTTCCTCTAGATAATCAAACCTCCCAGATAACAAATCTGAGGAAGGCAAAAGGGAGGTTGGGGGACAAAGGTAGAGAGAGGCTATTATACACAGCATTCAAGGAGTCCAGGGCTGCACCCTAGACTCTCTTGGGTTCCATATACCTCAGGCCTTCACCCACCCCCAAGTCCTGGCAGAAATGTAAGCAGCACATGAAAGATGGTAGAGATCCAGATACATCTGACAGAAAGCTGGGGGTGGTTTTAAGGCCCAGCTAATTTTTTTAAAATTGTAATTTCAGCAAAACTTTTGTTGGTATTTAGAAAAATAAAAACTTTTGTCACATTTGACTTTGCTGTGCAGCGCCAGTGCCTGTGGGGACAGAGGGCAGGAGTAGGTGGGAGGTTGCTTCTGTCTGCTGCCCAGAGCAGGGAAGAGGTGGAGGAGTCAACAGCAGGAGCAGGACCCTGGCAGCCGAGCCTGAGCTGGCCAGAAAGCCGTGGCTCTACTTCGGGCTGACCAGGCAGCTCTAGCCTAGGCATGAGCGGCCTTTCAGCCTTCATAGCTGTGGAAGTCTTTTCTTTTAATGCATTCCTCTCGAGCGACTACTGCCAAAATGGCCAAACTTGGGCCAGCTGTCACCCAAGATACCGAAACAGGCAAACAGTTTCTAAATATGTGTAGATCATGTGCTAAATTCTGAGGCTTAGGAAAGGGGTGTGCGTGTGTGTGTGCGCGCGCGCGCACGCCCCCCCCAACCCCCAGCAGACCCCCATTCTGAGGACTTCTATGGGGGGGAAGACTGGGTAGGTTCGAGCTCTATAGTCAATATAATAAATTAATCAGAAGCTTTCACAACACAACCCAGCCCCACTGAGGATGAGGGGGGCTAGGGGAGGAAACATGAAAGAGAAACCAGCTGACTGGTGTGCGGTGTCGAAGTCCAATCTCGCAAGCCTAGTGGTTGTGACCAAATAGACTTGAGGCCTCTTGTTGGCTGTCCTGCAGGTCAGTCAGTCCAATCTCGCAAGCCCAGTGGTTGTGACCAAATAGGAGACTTGAGGCCTCTTGTTGGCTGTCCTGCAGGTCAGTAAAGCTGGTTCTTCAGTTGGTGCAGGACACCGATCACGATCTCCCGTAGGGTCTGTTGAGGGCAGCAGAGGAAGAGAGATGATGCTCAGGTGAGGGCAGAGAGCTATCTGGGACACCTGACCAGGTGCGCTCTTTCTAGCGGGGGGAAAAAAAGCCCCTGGGAACCACTAATGTCTACAGTTTACTTTGCAATGCTCCCAAAACAGGATGGAGAAAGGGATGGCGAGATGGACAGCTATGGGATAATATGGAAAATGTTAATGGTAGAATTTGGGTGATAGATATATGAATATTCAGTGTAAATTCTCTTGATGTTCCAGTATGTTTAAAGTGTCTCATAGAAAAAAAAAAATAAAGTGTCTCATAATAAAAATGTTTGAAAACAAAAGAGAATCTGAGAGACAAGTTTAAGCCCCAGAAGAAGCAACTAGGCCTCAAAAGCAGAAGACTCAGTTTAATACCATTAACACACCACATCATTACAAGTAAACTCCAGGAAAAGCTACCTTAGTAGGCCTGGGGTTGGGGCTAGAAATCTTTCCAAAAAACCCACGTAATTCTGCTTCAAGTGATGGGGCTTACATATTGGGCAGCTGAGGAGTGACCAAGGTGGCCACAACATGGACTAAACCAAGGCAGAACTTGGCCTTATAGGAGTAAGTGCTCAGATCAAACTTGATCAATGAAACCATAACAGGAAAATGTAAACTTTAGAAAGCAAAGGGGGGAACGAGTACTGAAAGCTGTAGAAACACCCTGAAGAAACCTAAAGTCTGCTACCTGCTTTTCAAAATGGCTTGGGTCACTTTGCCTAAAGGTGGGAGAAGCCCCAGGGCCCTGTGACCCCTGCTGCCCCATACCTGAGGCTTACAGTGCTCCTCAATCCAGCTGAAGACACAAGCCGACAGCTCCTGAAAGCTGGCCATGGAGATGGAAGCATTGAAGGACTGGAACAGGGCGTCCATGATGCCTTGAAACACATTGAACTTGACCTGGTCGGAAACCTGATCCTCCCCCTCGTGGGGGTTGTCCTGGTGTGCCTTCACAATCTGCTCGTAGTTCCTAAAAGCAAGCAGGCCAGGGCTGAGGTGCTACAGCAGCTCTACCAGGCCAGGAGGGTAACTGGGTGACCCCAATACCTCCCCCAACCAAGAAGGGGAAGAGCTTTGGGGATATATTCATAAGCTAGATACTGCTTTTAGGTTAAAAATAGACACCTATCTTCTCTAACCTTCCATTAACCCAGGGGTCCTCAAACTACAGCCCGCGGGCCACATGCAAATACAAATATTGTATTTGTTCCCGTTTTGTTTTTTTACTTCAAAATAAGATATGTGCAGTGTGCATAGGAATTTGTTCATGGTTTTTTTTTAAACTATAGTCCGGCCCTCCAATGGTCTGAGGGACAGTGAACCGGCCCCCTGTTTAAAAAGTTTGAGGACCCCTGCATTAACCCAACAGACTTTTCTATCAGGGACTATTGGGGGACAGGTTCCTGCCTCTAAGTGGCCACCGGAGGGAGTGAGAATATTATCTGATGTGGCCTTTGAACAAAAGGGAGAGTGAACTGAAGTGGGCCCCAGTCCCCTCAGAAGCCCTGGTTCCCACAGTTGGGCACGCTTACACTTTCATGATCTTTAGGGCCATGACGTCCTTGCGTAGGGTGGACACCTCCTCCTCCTGCTTTTTCTTCTCCTTGTGCAAAAACTGGATGTAGTCAATAGCTAGGGTGAAGGTGGACAGAGGTTGTGGGCATAGAGGACATCAACCAGAGGACAAGGCTGATCTTGTTTCCCTTTTCCCCATTCCCCAAGTCTCCCATTACAACCACCCAGCAGGGCCAGGCCAAAAGTGGGTCTAAGGCTAGCCTGCTCATAGCTCCATTGCTCCAACCCCTCCAGTGCTCTCCCCGCCATACTCTTCTGCAGAACGATGGCTTTGCTGAGCTTTTGGGAGCCAATGGAGAAGTCCTGCTGCTGGCAGGTGGGGACGATGGTCTGAAGGTCGTCATAGCCTCTCTGTGGAGAGAGCAAGGGAAATAGATTCCTTAACTCTGAGGGGTTAAGACAAAATGGCACAAACTTTTCTTCCATGACACTAAGTCCCATTCTCACAAACTAAAAGGGGTGGGGGCTGGAAGGAGGGGGGTGTTCATGTCCGGGGACGACTAGCTGCCCCCAGGTGGCTTGGGCCTGTCTGATGGGGTCAGGGCACAATGAGTCTGAAATGTGCAGGGCCTTCCTGTGCTGGCTGAGGCCTCCCCAATCACCTTGATAGCATCCCTCCTCTTCTGTTCAGCCTGTGTGTGTGCTCGCCGGCGCCGGTCCTTGTAGGACTCCTTGTAGGACTCCTGGTGGTAATCACTGTCCTCGTCATCTACGCTCAGAGTTGGGGGCAGGAAGAGATCAATCTGGGGCCCAGGGAGACCCAGCTAATCCATCTGTCCCTGACTGGGAAAAAGAACGTAGTGCCCAGGTAGCAGATGGACACGGGAACTTATTCTAGATGAGGTAAAAGATGATGAGACCCTGTGTCTAGCACCAGGGCTCTAGCACCCCACGTGGATGGCTAGAGCATCCTAAGAAAGATACTAAAATGATGGCATATCTGAGCCCTGCCAGATGGGGGATGTGGCTGCCTACCTGTGTTAGGGACGGAAGAGGCACTGGTGGAACCGATGCTATTAGCTCTGGACACTACACTCCCCTTGCGGGAGCTTTCTACAAAAAGCCCTGGAAAAGAGAGGCCCCAATCACTAAGGGGTAAGGTGGGGGGGGGGGGGGCACGCTGCTAGGCCTTCAGACACCTGTGGGCACCATTTCTCTGATCCTTAAATGCTGACCTCTCCCCTTAAACCAAAAGCTAGCCGTACTGGGCCAGCCACTTCTAGAGCCATCTGCAAGGCTCCTGTCCCTGGGTCTGAACTGCTCCACTGGCCTGCAATGGTACTGTTGGTTCACAAAGCAACACCTGGGCTTGATGAGGTTGAGAGTGACCAGCTGTCACTATTTCCATTACTTCCCTGTTCCACAGCAGAGGGAACCAGGATCACCCTCCCGTGCCTCCTGCCCTGGTCCTCCAGCTCCTCCCTCACTGTGTCAGGCTCAGAGACAGGGCTGTGGTCAGCTGTGGCGGCCAAGGGAACCTACAGGGCTGAAGTGGGTGGGGAGGCACTCACCGGGGTCCAGGCTGTTGTCGCTGTAGGCATACTCCACCTGCGGCACCCAGCAAGGGAGGAAAGTGGTCAGACCTCCGTCCGGAGGAGGCCTCTTCCATTCTCTCTGCGTACAATTGTATGCGCACAGGCAGGTGCGCAGGCAATGGAAGGACAGACACGCAGGTGCGCAGGCAATGGAAGGACAGACACGCAGGTGCGCAGGCAATGCAGGGGCGCAGGCAATGGACGGACCGACAGGCAGGGGCGCAGGCAATGGACGGACCGACAGGCAGGGGCGCAGGCAATGGACGGACCGACAGGCAGGGGCGCAGGCAATGGACGGACCGACAGGCAGGGGCGCAGGCAATGGACGGACCGACAGGCAGGGGCGCAGGCAATGGACGGACCGACAGGCAGGGGCGCAGGCAATGGACGGACCGACAGGCAGGGGCGCAGGCAATGGACGGACCGACAGGCAGGGGCGCAGGCAATGGACGGACCGACAGGCAGGGGCGCAGGCAATGGACGGACCGACAGGCAGGGGCGCAGGCAATGGACGGACCGACAGGCAGGGGCGCAGGCAATGGACGGACCGACAGGCAGGGGCGCAGGCAATGGACGGACCGACAGGCAGGGGCGCAGGCAATGGACGGACCGACAGGCAGGGGCGCAGGCAATGGACGGACCGACAGGCAGGGGCGCAGGCAATGGACGGACCGACAGGCAGGGGCGCAGGCAATGGACGGACCGACAGGCAGGGGCGCAGGCAATGGACGGACCGACACGCAGGGGCGCAGGCAATGGAAGGACCGACACGCAGGTGCGCAGGCAATGGAAGGACGGACGGACACACACCGGCGCGCGCAAGAAACGGAAGGCTTTCCCCGAGAGCCAAGACTGGCTAGGTCGTGGGAGCGCCGCCCCTCGAAAAAAGAGCTGTCTTCTCTGGAGCCCCCGGGCCCGGAGGGCGGAAGCGGGGGTATTCTGGGCACCGGAGCGACTTCCCTCATCTTCCGAACCCCCTGCGTACACGCGCCCGGCCCGCCCTCCCCTCCCCGCCGGCGGAGCTTGCCTTGACCCAGGGGTCCTCCAGAGAAGCGCCGGGTTCCGTCATCTCCGACCCACCGCACCGGAAACCAGCCAGCGGCCGGCCACTCGTCGCCAGGAAAAGCGAGGCACGCCCACGTGACCCAGACCAGCCAATCCGCGGCCGAGGAGGAAAGGGCGGGGCGAGGGTGACGTGCGTGCGCAGCCAGGGAAGGCCGAACCCGCGGAGTGGGCTGAGCCCCCTGCGGGGTTGACACAGGTTGCGTTGGGGGGGTCGCCCTGCTGGTCTCCCTCCCTGGGGCAGGCGGCTAGCAGCGCATTCTGTGAAGGGGGTCCCTTCAAAAGGCTTGTCGCAGGAACGCCTGGGAACAGCTGTGCACACAGAAGCACTGCCAGGCCTGGGCGGCCCCGGGGATGCCTTCCTCCCGGGCCCACCATCCGGCCAGCCATCACCTCGTCCAGCTCCACCAGGCTGCAGGCTCTGTGACGGCAGAGGCCCGCCTGGCGTGTGGAAGGATGGTCCTCCAACGTCAAGCCTAGGATCCAGATGGGCACTTGTGGAATTAATACTCCAAAGAGCCTATTGGCCAAGTTATGCTACTTTATAGATAAGGAAACCGAGGAACCTAGCAAGTTTGTGACTTGTTCAAATGCACACAGCTGCTCAGTGACAGGGCCAAGGCTGGCTTCAGTCTGGATAGCTCCAAAGGCCATGCTCTTAACCACTGCACTCCTGGCTTCCAGCTCAGGCCTGAGTCCTGCACTTGTGGCTCAAGGATCCCAAAGTTACCTAGAGGCATTGGAGCAGGAAGCAGACACCATACAGACAGCACCTGGAAACATTGACCTTTAATTCTGTTACAAGTTCCATTGTTTGCCCTTTCCCCCCTTCTCCCCTACTAGCCTTAGGTATCACAGACACCTGTAGGCAAGAATGGGGTTGGAATGCCAGAGGGGCCTGTTCCCCACGGGCCACATCCTTAGTGTTGGTCAAACACCTGCAAGCTGAGTAGGCTTCTTGTGTCCACCAGGCCCTGCCCCACCCAGCTTAGCTCAGAGCCCTCAAGGCCCAAGCTAGGGTGAGCATGGAAGCCCCCATTCCTCCTCACCACTGGATGATCTCTTGTCAGCTCCAGGGGCCAATCTGGCCCCACAGAAAACTCATTATCAGTACGGCTTCTTGGCTATGCGCTTCTGCAGGAGGGCCCAGGCTTTCTCCACCTTTGGGCAACCAGAATGTTGTGAGGAAAAGACAGTCAGGTAGGCATTCACTGTAGACTCCCTCCCAACCACCCAGCTCTTCCCTGGGCATCAACCTGGAGCTGGGTGACATGTGGCTCCCATAAGGTGCTTAGCACCACGTGGCTCTGGTCCACAAGCTGCTGTCCACTCATCTGGTTCTGCAGCCGGCTTTGAGCTGCAGCCTCACTGAGGCCATCCCTCTCCCGAATTCGTCGTATAGCCTGGGTACAGACATGACATTTGTCAGCCAACTGGCTCAGAGCAGGATATAGTCTGCAATGGCGGTGGGGTGGCAGATGGGCTCCAGATACCTCAGTCTCAGGGACGACAATGGTCCACACCTCATGCACCATGCTCTGCCAGCCGGCTTCAAGTAGCATGGCAGCTTCAATCACGCATACCTGCTTTCCTGTAGGGAGACTCCAGTCACTACCAGCAGTACCCTATCACTTGCTACCAGTCAGAGGGTCAATGAAACATGGTCCCTGGGAACGTGGGTGGTCTGGCTTGGAGTAGAAAAACTCCCAGGGAAAGGATCCGCTTAACTGTGCCCCTCAGCCGCTCCCAACATCCCTCTGACTCACCTTCAGCCACAGCCAGCTCCATCTCCTCTCGGGCCAGCATTGCGATAATCGGCCACACAATGTCCGTGAGCATCTTCAGGTGCTTCTGAGAAGCAGGATGGAGGGAGTGGGCAGTGGTTACTCCCCTTGAAGATGGAGCCAGCCCAGAGAAGTCCATTGGGTCCCAACCCCTGGGTCTATTGCAGTGGAGAACCTTTGGAGAGGTGTGTATTTACCTTGTTTCCAAAAACCCGGCTGCCCAGGACCTTCCTGTTGATAATGCCATCTTTATGGAGGATATCTAGAGGACAGAGACAGAGGATTGGGCAAGGAGACTAGGCCATCTCCTCACTTCAGGCCTCCTCCAGCCCTCTCCAGTCATTACCTGTTCCAAAGGCTTGCACCACGGGCTGGTAGGCAGGACCACCCGGGGCATAGGCCCGATGGCCCAGCTGGTCACAATCGATGACATATGCCCCCAGGCCCTTCAGCCGCTGAGCTACTGAGCTCTTTCCAGAGCCACTTATGCCTGTCAGCCCAATCACGTAGAGACCAGGAGGGAGCTCAAACCTCTCCTGGGGGTAGATAAAAGGAGCCCTAGTTACTAGGGTCCTCAGGCTCATGTTTGGGCTGAATCCTTCAGTCTCCACCTTCTGGCATTTCCAGCCTATCCAAGAGGGTGAGGGAAGGAAAGACATGCTTACATATGGAGGCCGGAGCAGGTTTCCCAGCATTCGCTGGCGGGAGCTGGAGGAGCTGATTTTGTCCTCTTCATTTTCCCTGTGGCTTAGGTCGTGCAGTAGCTGAATCTGGAACAAGGCAAGCTCCTCCAGGTCCTGAAGTAAAGAAGGAGGGGTGAGGAGAGGGAAAGAGGGGTGAGATGAAGGGCAAACCCTGACACCAACTTGCCCCCTTATCCTCCCCTACTTACTCCAGAGGTAGAGCTTGCCTCAGAAGACAACCTGGGAACCAGTTCCTCCTTGCCTCTTTCTACCACCCTGGGCCCCCTCTTCCCTCCTCTGGGGTCATGGTACTTCCAACAGCACCCTCCCCACAATAGCCTTCCCCATCCCCATCCGCTCCCTCTGCCAATCTCCCTCACAGGTTACATTCTCAAGGCGGAAGCGGTTGACGGCCATCCCCCCACGATAGGTCTCCTCGCTGACCACCAGGAACTCCAGGGAGGGGTCAGAGCCAGCGGGCCCATAGGGGTCCAGCAGGGGGATGATATCAAAAGCCAAGGAGGGCTTGATGTCCACCAGGAACTCACTCAGATGTTCCACACGTTCTGCGTAGGATTGGAGCAGCTCTGGGAGCAACTTGCCTGAGGAAGGAGCCCAGAACAGTGAGATCTTTTTATTGGGGAGGAAGAGGATGGACCAGTTTGGGGAAAGGTGCCCCTAAGCATCCTGTCTCCAAAGGTGGGTGGCAGGAAGAAAGGGCTAACCTGGGACGTGGTCTGTGATGGGAAAACTATGAGGGGCAGGCAGCAGGCAAGCACAATCGTCAGTGCAAGGGCTGGCATGTGTCCAGAGAACTAGCAGTGCCAGTGGGCGTCAGAGCCAGACAGAGGCATTCAAGGATTTGTTAAAAATGCAGACTCCTGCCGAAACCGGTTTGGCTCAGTGGATAGAGCATCAGCCTGAGGACTGAAAGGTCCCGGGTTCGATTCCGGTCAAGGGCATGTACCTGGGTTGCGGGCACATCCCCGGTGGGGGAAGTGCAGGAGGCGGCTGATCGATGTTTCTCTCTCATCGATGTTTCTGACTCTATCTCTCTCCCTTCCTCTCTGTAAAAAAAATCAATAAAATATATTTCAAAAAAAAAAATGCACACTCCTTGGTTCCATGTTTGGGGT